CTGCTGAGATTTTTTTTTTTTTTTTTGCTGATAACTTTATTATTTTTCCATCAGTGTTCATAGGGATATTGTAGTTTTTTTATAGTGTCTTTATTAGGCTTTCTTAGAGCAAAGGTGGTTCCGTATTATCTTCTAATTTTATATTTCTACACATTAAAAACTTTTATGTTTAAAACAGAAACTGGGAAATCAGACCAATTTGGTATTAATGAAATTACAGAGGTAATTTAGATATGGAAATAAATTATTGATAGATATTATTCTCTCATTTATTTTAGTTATAATTAAGTTTAGGTGCTTGTAATAGAAAATCCTAAAACAATAGTGGTCTATGTAAGACAGAATTGTATTTGTCCCTATCACTTAACAATAGTCCAGTGGGCCTTACACCACACTACTACTACCATTGCTCAAAAAAGAAGTCATAATAAAAATCAGGAAAGATTTTATATTTAATAATAAAAACACATATCACAATTTGTGAGATTTAACTAAAGTAGTCTTCAGAGGAAAACTTTTTGTTTTAAAGAAGTAAATGAGACTATAGTAAAGATAAAATCAGTGATCTCTGCTTTTACCTTGAAATGCTAGAAAAAGGAAAGTTATTAAACCTAAAGTAAGTACAAGAAAGGAAATAAAAGCAGAACTCAGTGAAGCGGAAAAGAAACAATGGAGTGCTCAAAGCTAGAAGATGTATTTTTGGTAAATATTAATAATACTAACAACCCTTAAAAATTAAATGTGTAAAGAAAAAAAGAGGGATATCATCATATATTTTACAGACATTAAAAAAAAAAAGGGTATATTTCTGCCAATACACTTAACATTTTAGATCAAATGGACAAATTCCTTAAAAGTTATGTCACCAAAATGGACACAAGAAGAGACAGTAAGTCTAAATATCCCTATAGCTGATTAATCAAAAGCATAATAATTAAAGAATTCTTAAGGCATGCCCAGTGGCTCATGCCAGTAATCTCAGCACTTTGGGAGGCCAGGGTGGGCAGATCACTTGAGCTGAAGCGTTCAGGACCAGCCTGGGCAACCTGGTGAAACCCCATCTCTATAAAAAATACAGTATATTAGCTGGGTGTGGTGGTGCATGCCTGTAGTCCCAGTTACTTGGGAGAGTGAGGTGGGAGGATTGCTTGATCCCAGGAGGCTGTAGTGAACTGAGATTGCACCACTGTACTTGAGCCTGGGTGACAGACTATGACCCTGTCTCAAAAAAAAAAAAAAAAAAAAAGATTTCTCATGAAGAAAATTCTGGCCTAGATGCTGTGTCACTGGTAAAGTTTATCAAACTTATAAGTAATAAATAACATCAGTGGTAAAGTTTATCAAACTTATAAGTAATAAATAACATCAGTCCTATTCAAATTCATTCATAAAATACAAAAGATGGGAATGTTTTCTATCTCATTTTATGAGGCTCCTGTAATATTGTTACCAAAATCAGATAGGAACAGTGTAAGAAAATTATTCACTAATATTTCTGCAAACATAGGTGTAAAAATCATTAACAAAATAATGGCAGATTAAATCCAGCTATATATAAAAATGATACTATACTATCATCAAGTGGAGTTTATCTCAGTAATAGACTAAAGGAGGCTAGGCTCAGTGGCTCATGCCTGTAATCCCAGCACTTTGGGAGGGCGAGGCAGGTGATTACCTGAAGTCAGGAGTTCAAGACCAGCCTGGCCAACATGGTGAAATCCCATCTCCACTAAAAATGCAATAATTAGCTGGGCATGGCGGTACACTCCTGTAGTCCCAGCTACTCGGGAAGCTGAGGCAGTAGAATCTCTTCAACCCAGGAGGCAGAGGTTGCAGTGAGCCAAGATCATACCACTTCACTTCTGCCTGGGTGACAGAGCGAGAGACTCCATCTCAAAAAA